CAAACAATTTCTAAAAATTATACAGTTATAAATTAAATACTGTATAAAATAACATACTCATCAGATTTAGTACGATCTATTATTGGATAGTGATCAAGAAAGTACTGTTTTCCCCAATGTGAGCTTATTCCATAAAGTATTTCCTCTGTATCTTTAACAGGGGGAGGTGAATTGACATAGTCTGGAATAAGAACTTCTGAAATATCCATAGATCCTATGTCTACAACAGAGTTTCATAATTAAATAATAGTAACTAATATTATCATACTACTGAATTGTCTGTTTAATTCATCTGCATCTATGTCAGAGCTTTGTGTATCACTGTCAGTATCTTATGATAACATAAAACAAAAATAATAGGCTGTTATGTGGTATACCTTCATCCTTGCTAAGGTCATCACATGTGTCGAAAGTCTCATCATTTTCAGTATAAATATATTGAGTAGCAGCTATTTCTTTCTTCATTATTTCCATATTTTCTTCACAAGTAATATTTTCACCTAGCAAGCCAGAACTACATGTACATAGAAGCAAAGTATTTTTACACTTGTCACTTATTTAAAATTGATTGTATATACCTTATACTCTTTCCTATTTCATTTAGTATCCATTGCCTAACCATTTGTGTACCACTCTGTTGCAATATAAAAAATTATGTAATACTTTACTTTTATTTTACTATTGGAAGTATATGTTTAGGCCTCATTCCTACTTGAAATGCAGCATTCTTTACAATTGAAGTACAAAATTGATAAAAAGAGATATAATTTTTCTTACTAGACAAGTGAGCACACCACAATCTATGCTGTTCGTTTGACACATATAACTTTGCTAAAAGCAAAGACATAGTATTTTACTATAATGATTGTTAAGTACTTAATTTCCAACTTACTTTCTCAATAACAGTCAGATTATTTATGACACATTTGACTTTCCTGAAACACCATAAAAACTTTACAGATTAAAAGGATTCTGTCTTACTGTAACCTATTTTTAATTTCAGGATTTGTTGGCAACAAGGAGTTATAAATTTCTATGACACTTTCCTTTGGCCTAAGTATCTATTGCAAATAGAAATCAACAATAAGCAAAGATGTATCACTACTGATAAGATCCAATGATTATTATGGCAAACTGGAAATAAGTATAGATCTGTATTAGCTAGATCAGTCTGTTGGTACAAGAACAAGTTAACAAAAAATTCTGCCTCATTTTATGTACTTTAAAGTATTTCATAATTTCCGCTTTGGTGACATTTGTAATTAATTTCTGAAAAAGAGTTGAATGAAGATATGATACCTGTATGTTTGTGCCCTTATAAATAAATAATAAATATAGATTATAACAGTAAGTAAAAAAATTACCTCAGCACATTTGAAAACAGAAATCCAGTATATTATAAAGTTGATAAGCTAATAATAATTTTAAAATTATTAACACAGCAGTTTTAAACATACCTGATCTTGAAGCCAGTTATTGTTATAGAGACTTCTGATGTCATTTAATTTTATATCAAACCCATTGCATTTAATCACAAAAAATTCTTTACTTTCTTCATCATTGTTATCTATACAAGTATAACCACTTAATTCATTCACATTTTTAAGGGTGAATTGCATGCATACCTTCTATTATAACTTTAGACTCTTGAGATGGCAAAGGTGGGATTAAAGGTGATGAGAGCTGACTTATGCTATCATTAACCACTTTTTTCTGCAATTGTAAACATTTTCTTTTAATGCAACACTGTTTTTTCCTGCCAGGACCACCAAATTTTGGTTTATCTTTGCAAGAGGTACATGTTCCACAGTCGAGAGCAAGACAACCATGACATTGCTGACAGCGCCGCTTTCGTGCTACAGAAGTTTCTAAGGTGAATCAGTTTACTGTTAGCTTACATTTCTCTTTCGGCATCAGACTGAAGTTCATCTCTAAAATCTCCGCCTCCCGAGATTGATGTTTCAAAACAAAGCATTCACAACCTTTGGAATGAATAGCAGCCTGATTCTGTGGATAAACTATTCCACACTTATTGCAATTAATGCCATTGTCATTTCCAATAAACCTATGATTAAATAAATTGCTTTGAACAGAGGTAAATTATTACTTTTCTGCAATGTCAATTGCAATCTCCTTTCTAATATTATAGCTATCATTATTATCCTACATAAAATTAAAAAGAATCCAAACAAAAACTTTAAAATGTTACCATAAAATTAAGTTCTTGGTCAGTAATTAAGCACTTAGCATACTACATCAAAATTCTATTAATTTATTTAATGTATGATACAATGAGCAAACCTTGCAAACAAACACTCCACATGATGTACCATCAGATTGCTGGGAGCACTAAAATTTAGTAACAAAATCCAATCAAATTAATCAAGAAGCTAACCTTCATTGTTTTCACATTCAGGTCCTGTTCTTGCATGTTGTGCTTTTTTGTGAGTAATTTTATTATGCTCCTACAGATAGTGTGTATATAATTGCACAAAACTTATTAATTCAATAATTATAAATGTAATTACTGTAGTTGAGAATAATATATTGCATATCTTTCTCTCCAGTCACTGGATAGTAATGAATCTAAAATGAATACTGAAGAATTGCAAAAGTCAACCATCTATAAAAATATACATAAGTTCAAAGCAATTTATAATATGCATACTATTAGGAAGTAGTGAATTTTTTCTGCAACATAGACAGGAACTAACAGCTTTCCTGTCAGGAAAATTGTCGACTATAAGAATATAAATACTGCCAATGACATAATTGTAACTGTTATACTTACAGTAATATCACTAAATTCTTCTATTTCATCTGCATCAAAATTAGAATAATCAAATACATGAGACGGTAATGTGGCAAAATGAGAATCCTATGATAAAAAAGGCAATTATGATACTCTATAATAATAATAATTATTATGATTATAATATTGAATGCCATGCAATGCTTACATATCTCAACTAACAATTAGAGTATGAACTACATGATATACATAAAATTACCTGATGTTTTTCAAGCAGTAACTTAAGGTAAAAGTCAATGACTTCAGCATCTATCATAGCACCATGCAATAAATTATGCATATGCTCATGAGTAAATTGGTAAGGTGAAAGTTTATAAAGAACTGGAGACATCCCTATGCTCATTGCAGAGTGAGATTATTGTGCATTAAATATGACAGTAATGTTACTTGATTTTGGTGATTGAGTCTTAGCTGCAGTCCTTGAAGTATCTGCTTCAGTACAACTGAAATTAAACAAAAGATTTCTAAGCAATTGTAGATTAACTAACTGGAAAATCTTTAGTCTAGCAGCATTGACAGGTCATTTAAGTACTACATCTGATGCATTCTTAAGTTTGTAACACCCATTTCCCAAATCTTCATGAATAGTATAAGGCCCCTGCCACTTTTCAGCCATTTTCATCCCTTTTTTGCTATCTCTGACACTATTCTTCACCAGTACCTTAGAATTAATTGCAATTTTCTAAAAATATATTTAGTAGTCAAATTTTTTAAGAGATAAAGCGAGTCACCTCTGGGTTATCTCTTTTCTTGTTGTAATATTCCTTATACTTCACCTGTGCATCATCAATGTTTTGACTTGCAGATTGAAATATCCTTTGCCTTAACTCAGTCATCCTTGAAACAACATCATCTATATCTATGCTAAAATTTGTTTCATCTGCATTGCTCAGTTGTCCCTTCAACTCCAATTCAATAGGTAAAACTGGTTGCCTAGAATAATTATAAATTGTGACAAAACTGACAGCAGTGATACACACCTATTAAACATCAATTGAAATGGAGTGTACTTTGTGGATTTTTGTACACTAGTGCGTATTGCAAAAAGAACCGATGGTAATAGAGAATCCCAATCATCTGAGGATTTTAAACTACACTTTCTAAGTGAGTTTTGAAGTGTCTGGTTGAATCGTTCCACTAAACCATTGCTTTGTGGATGGTATGCAGAAGTTATGCGATGATTGGTACCAGTAAGTGACATCAATTCCTCATTAATGCTATTAACAAACTCCCTTCCTTGATCTGTTATCACTACTTTTGCACACCCAAATCTATAACATACACATACATTACTAAATGAATTATTGCTGACTTAGTAGTGCTGGTGTGGTTAACCACACCAACAGTTGTGGTAAGTTTTAAAAAAATAGCATTATAATTATTAAAGCAGGTCTAATTATGTGAAGTTTCTCACCGACATATTGTTTCAAAAATAAAGTTTGCCACTGAAACCGCACTCTTGTCTTTAGAAGCTGCTGCTTCTGGCCACTTACTAAAATAATCCACACAAGTGATAATGTATTTGTTGCCCATTTTACTAGTTGGCATCGTCACAACATCAATACCTATCTAAAAGAAAATTGTAACTTTAAGATGCTTGACTACACAAGTACATACTTGCTGCCAAACTACTCCAGGAACAGGAATAGGATGAAGTGTTGAGTGTGGCTTATGAAATACATCATTGTTTCGTTGACATCTTTCACATGATTTTAAAAATTCATGGATTTCACTATACATATTCCGACCCCAGTAAAATCTAGAACAGATCTTTTCAGTAGTCTTATCTCGACCTAAATGTCCACCTGAATGAAAGTAGTCATTTACTGTTTACCCATCTGACAAGAGTCCCTACTGATGGATGCATGTCAAAGCCATTATTTCTGACTAACCTGATTGTGATTCATGGCAAGATCGTAGTACTCTTTTTTTGTCTTCTTCAGATCTGACACATAATTTCCATTCTCTTGTTTTATTATTCAAAGATCCTCTTAATGACTTGGTATAGTACAGCAATCCATTCTCAATTTTGTAATTCTCCTGGCATTTTCTTCTGTAGTAGTTTCAGTTCAGGAATAATTTGCCCAATGACATCAAACTGCTGTACCTGAAATTTCTTTTACCATCTTTAGTATCTATTTCTGACGGATATTCTCCATGCTCAAGATATTTGCAAACCAACTCAAAGTCTGCCATAGTAGTACAGCTGGTAAGTCAGTGCGTGATTGCGACCTGATTAATGCTAGCTGCGCAAGCGGGGGGGGGTCCAACTACACTAAAGGGGGGGTCCAACTACACTAAAGGGGGGGTCCAACTACACTAAAGGGGGGGTCCAACTACACTAAAGGGGGGGTCCAACTACTCGCGAGCGCTTGGACCCCCGGTCCAAATAGAAGGGGGGTCCAACCACCCTCCAACACCAGTAATAAAGTATGTACATGCACTACCGTACAGCAGGAAATATTTGCGGGGAATTAAATTTTGCGAGTTTGCGATTCCATTTAAAGCGCAAAATTTAAATCCGCAAAATAATGAAATTCATGCATGACCACAGTATAGATAATGCTACAATAACTGTCAAAACCGCAAATATTTAATCCGCAAACCAGGTTATTTTTAAGGATTCGCAAAATTTTTCTCCGCAAAATTAACCAGCTGTACGGTATATGCTTCAATCAGTTAATGGATTGCTCTTCTCATTTGATATACTGTTAGTGGGTGGAACTAAACTTTCATGTATTAGTGAAATCAATGCAAAGCACTGATAAGATGTACCAATTCAAATTACAACTCTGAGACAATTTTTGAAACATACTGCTAATAACTTTCCAATTTTTAAACATATGTATCATCAGGGGTTGCTCTTATTCTCAGCTAATCTGAATCAATAAGTATGTGAATTATTACTGGTGTACATGTACTGGTATATTATTACAGTCTCATATATTATCAAGTGCTATAAAACAATAAATAATAACACTGTTTAAAGACAAAAGTTGCTAATAATTTTGTCAAGAATGAAAAGTAGAGAATTCTTTGTTATTTTTTTAATTTTTCTGATGTACATGTTGTGATTTCATTATACTTGTAAATGCTTTCTCTTTCATTTCTGAAATCAATTATATTTCTTGACAAAAATTATGTTTGGTTGAAAGTTGAAATTACTGATAACAGGTACATATGCTTTTCTTTCCCCCCTACTCTTGAACTTAAATCCTATTTATTTGTTTGTTTAAATTATTTATTTTCCCCTACAGAGGATAAGTATTGTAGCCAGTCTTCAAGAAGAGAATGATTCATTGCAGAAGATTTTACACCCACAGCCTGATGCCTTGAGACCGCTCTATGTCTATGAGTCTAAAATGGTTAGTTCTACACTGGCATATTTGCTAATTAACATTTTGGGCATTTCAATTTTATCAGAAATATAGCTATTGAACATTAAAAGAGCTCAGAATTCGGCCAAGAAATAATTACAGTGTTCCATGCAATTGCATCTCTGCGAGACTACTGAGCATGTGCAGCCTCACCCATAATAGGCCAAATTTGGAAAATGCAAGCTCTTACACCTCTTTTATGGTCTGTTTTTCCCTTCAAAAGCTAGTTTTGTATACTGCACATGTGCAGATGCACTAAATTAAATGGATAACAACCACACATGTGCATCAAGATGGACAACAGACTTAAAAAGAGGTGTAACAGTGTCTTAAGAAGTATAATGTTTGTGAGTGGTGATACAGAGAGTGCAGCTTTTACCTTTGTTTCGTTGTAAAATACCCCCAATTTTTACCCTTGCCATGTGTAGGCGTATGGGCAAGGGTATATGAGTTGATTATTACATTTTCTGATACATATTGATATCCTAATAATGCCATGTATAGATCTCTAAGTTTGAGCTGTTTCTAAAAATAATTAAGAATTTAAAAAACAAACCAATTTTTGAAAAAAGCAAAGGCTATAGCCCATGATTTTTTCCAAAAAATGGCTCCGAAATTACCTCAAACTTTTATTAAATTTTCTGATGCATATTGATGTCCTTATGCTGTGTAGAAAGTTTGTGCTGATTCCGACTTTAATCTTTGGAGTTACAGCCACTTTATTAAAATGCCAAAATTCTGAAAAATACCCAAGGCTAAACATAAAAAATTTAAAAAAACAAGATGAAGTAGGATTCCGAACGACCAACGAAAATATGAAATGAAAATCCTACTCGTGACGCAAATTCTGCTCTACATTGTACTTTTAATGTTATTATGTAAGAATTATGGATCACTTTGCAATGTAGAGTAGAATTTGCGTCACGAGTAGGATTTTCATTTCGTATTTTCATTGGTCATTCGGAATCCTACTTCATCTTGTTTTTTTAAATTTTTTATGTTCTTGTTTGTGTTGATTTTTTAATAATTTTCGTATTTTCATTGGTCGTTC